CACCCATTCAACCTACAGGAATTAAGCCAAAAAATTTTACTTTTATTAAAAGTGACATTCTTGAAGGGTTACCGTTTTCTGATTAATCTTTTGATTTTATATTCCAACGTTTCTTGGTTGGCTCAATCCCAAAGGACAAATGGAAGCCCGTTATCGAGGAGCTAACCAATGTTAAAACCTGGTGGTTATTTGGAGGTAAAAAATATTGGAACCTTTAAGTATTATGAATTCCTTCAAATCTGTTCTTCTAGATCTAAATATTCATTCTTTATTCAACAGTTGATGGAATGTAACGTATTATCTGAAAGATTAGGTCCAACTTCATTTAAATTCGCATCTGCTTGTAGGATATTTTTTATTTATTTTTTCATCCCATTACTGTCATTTTTTATGTTTTATATTGACATTCTGATGTGTTTAGTGAAGAATATATTCGATCAACGAGGACTTGAAACAAAAATGGTTTCAAAATTAAAATCTTATATTGAGCAACAAGGACAATTTGAAGAGATCAAAGATGAAATCAAACATTTAAGCGGAGGCTCTGAAGCCGGTAAACTTGGTCAAGCAGTATGTACTCAAGGTTTTTAAATCTATCCATGGTTCCAAATTCCATTTCTGAATAATAGTTTTTTCCTTACTTATAGCTTAATGACGATATCATAAGTGTTTTCAAAAATGTAGAAGTCTTGTTGGTTCCAGATTTACAAGTCACTCCCGAAGAATATGAAAAAGACTTAAAGGACATAAAACAAGAATGGTTAGAACAAAATAGCTATTCCTGTTTCATTCGTGTTTATACTAGGAAAATATAAAATGTCTATATTATGAAAAACATTTGAGCCCAAAAAATGGTTTTAATATTTTCCGTTTATTATATAAGGATTTATCATTAAAACGTGATCGTTTCTAGGTCCATACAAAACAAAAATCACTTTTCTTTCTTGTTTAAATAATGTCTTCTTTTAAAGAAAAATCACATTCAATTTAATGAAGCTGTTCAACTACTTTTTAATACATAGCTAACAATTAATTTTTTTTTCCTATTAACATCGTTAAACATGTCAATTAACTCTTTTTTTTTTTTTTTTTAAAAAAAAAATACAGTCAGACCTCTCTAAATGCACCCTCTATAAATGCACACCCTCTTTAAATGC